AAGACCTCCGCTTGAGACCCTGGAGAGCTGTAAAGAGAGGCCGTGGCTCAGAGGCAGAGCATCTGCCTGGCATGCAGGAGGTCCCAGGTTCAGTCCCCGGCACCTCCAGTTAACTTGATCTGGGTAGCAAGCAGTGTTCCCTCTTAAGCTGAGTGAGTGTGAGTTAGCTCACCGCTTTCTAGTCTCCGGCTCACACATTTTTGCCTTGGCTCAGGAAGGGATGGCTCCAGAGCAAACTGATTGATGCAGCAGCCAAATCGCTCGCTCGCGACTTTAATGCCAGGAGCTCCCACCACCACAGAAGAAGTGCCAGAGCTTGTGTTCTCGCAAACTCCAGCACGCTTTGGAGCCCTTTAGCAGTTGAGAGCAGGAAAAGGTCCCTTTTGAATCTGGCCACTAGTGGATTCACTACAGGGTGGAACTTGGTGGGGTTAAAGAGGGCGGCCGGGAGTAGTCTCCTGTAGGGCCTGAGGCTGTAGGGTGGAGCTGCCAACTTCTGTCTAGAAAGATCCCGATGAGAGTCGAACGGGAGTCTAGGCAGACGCTGCCTTTGGAAGCAGGAACCCGGGATCCCCCAAAGTGGGGCAGAGGGGGTGGAGGAGGAGGGCACAGAGTGACGGCTACAGGAGGTGGCAGCAGCTACAAGCATGGGCGGCTTCAAGAGGGAATTGGATAAGCCTATGGAGCAGAGGTTCCATCCATGTCTATTAGCCACAAGGTATAGATAGGAACTCTCGGTCTGGGGCAAGCGATGCTCTGTCTTCTTGGTGCTTTGGGGGGGGCAACAGTGTGAGGGCTTCTAGTGTCCTGGCCCCACTGCTGGACCTACTGATGGCTCCTGGTATTTCTGGCCACTGTGTGATACAGAGTGTTGGACTGGATGGGCCATTGGCCTGATCCAACATTGGCGTCTCTTATGTTCTTATGTCTTCTTGGTGCTGGGGGGGGGGCAACAGTGGGAGGGCTTCTAGTGTCCTGGCCCCACTGCTGGACCTGATGGTATTTTTGGCCACTGTGATACAGAGTGCTGGAATGGATGGGCCACTGGCCTGATCCAACATTGGCTTCTCTTATGTTCTTATGTTCACAGAGAGGTGCCAACCTCTTTCCGGGACATCCTGGTGAGGTGGGTCCCCTTCTCGAGAAGTCTGGCCTCTGCGTACGCTCAGGATGCTCCCGGGCCCCAGTGTTCCCTCTAAGCTGAGTCAGTGTGAGCCAGCTCGCAGTTCTTTAGCCTCCGGCTCACACATTTTTGTCTTCGCTCAGGGAGGAGGGCTCCAGAGCAGGCCAATTTACGCAGCGGCCAAATCGCTCGCCCACAACGTTAATGCTGGCAGCTCACAAAGTAGGATTTCCGCTCACAAGACTCCGCAGCTTAGAGGGAGCATTTTGGAGAGCACTACACAGGGAGAATGGATCGTGACTAGATGCGGAAGGGGACGCATTCAAGTCAGGAAGTGTCCCGGACTAAGGGGCCCACGATACGCACAGCGAGGCGGAGCGAGAGAGGGAGAGCTCCTGACCCGCTCAGCTTGGAGAAAGAAGCCGCTGAACGGAAGGAGCTGTTCAGAGTACTGACGGAGCCCTGCAGAAACAGCCTGGCCGCACTATAATGTTCAGCTTCCTGCAGTCCAGGGACCCACCGTTCATTTGTAGTTCAGAATTAACTTCTGCAGTGAGAGAGGAATCCTGTGCCCCTTTCCTGCCCTTACGCACTTCTCCTCTGCCCTAATCAAGCGGACTGCAGTGTGCATTGCCCATGGTACCTTTACATCCTAGCCCCCTTCTTGGCAACATGTCTCCCGTCTTCTGGCTGGGACGTAAGGGCTGAGAGAGCTCCATTCCGGCTTCTCTCTGACAGAAGGAGCGTGGGCAAAACCGAGAGGGTGCAGAAGAGAGCGAGGAGGAGGATCAGGGGCCTGGAGACTGAGCCCTACGAGGAAAGGGGAACATCTAATTTGGAGAAGAGGAGATTGAGGGGGGGGCATGATTGCTCTCTTTAAATATCTGAAAGGCTGTCATTTGGAGGAGGGCCAGGAGCGGTTCCAGTTGGTGGTGGAGGACAGGACCTGAAGCAACGGGTTTAAACGACATGCAGAAAGGTTTCAGCTGGATATTAGAGAAAAATGTTTCATGGTCAGAGTGGTTCAAAGGTGGAATCATCTGCCTAGGGACGTGGTGAGCTCCCCTTTCAGTGGCAGCTTTCAAGAAGAGGCTGGACGAATATTTGTCAGGGATCCTTTAGGCTGGGCCTGCATTGGGCAGGGGGCTGGACGAGATGGTCTGTATGGCCCCTCCCAACTCTATGATTCTATGATCGATCCATGTAGATGGAACAAGAGTGGAGGGATACGGTCCCTACAACCCACTCCAGTCAGCACTCCATCCGCAGCATTCTTTGCCACCTGTGGCTTCCAGACAGTCTTCAAGGGTAGCCCCATGTAGAGCGCCCTGCAGTAATCTAATCCTGTTTATCCAAGAGGAGACCCAGGTCTAGGAGTACCCTCAAGCTATGAGCCTGCTCGTTTAGGGGAAGTGCAACCCCATCCGGAAAAGAGGATAGCCCATTTCCTGGGTCAGACCTTCCCTCCGCCAGTAGCATCTCTCTGTTTTTTCAGGACTACAATCCAGCTTGTTTTCCCACATCCATGCCAAAACCGCCTCCGGACACCTGCTCACAGTGGAGCAAGATTGAGCTGAGTTTCATCTGCATATCGATAGCAGCTCAGGCCTCTCTCAGTGGCTTTACAAAGATGTTGAAAAGCAGGGGGAAACCTTGGGGGACCCCCTAAGCCCAGGGGCAGCGCATGAGTCCCCCAGCACCACACTCGGTGACATCTTCCCTCGAGGTAGGACTGGAACCCCTGCAGAACTGCGCCTCCCAGTCCGGAAAGACGATCCAAAAGGACACCATGATGGAGAAAGGCTGTTGTTGTTGTTGTTCAGCCACACAGTCGAGTCCGACTCTTTGTGACCCCATGGACCAGATCACGCCAGGCCCTCCTGTCTCCCGTCGTGCTCCAGAGTTTGCTTAATTTCATGTTTGTTGCCTCGATAACACTGTCTGCATCTCATCCTTTGCCGTCCCCGTCTTCCTTGACCCTCAGTCTTTCCCAGCATCAGGGTCTTCTCCACCAGTGAGGGCTCCCTTCTCATCTGGTGGCCAAAGTCTTTGAGCTCCAGCTTCAGTCTCTGGCCTTCCAGGGAACGGTCAGGGTTGATTTCTTTTAAGATTGACGGAGTGAGCTCCCGTCTCTAGTTCCAGCTCCTGCCAACCTAGCAGTTCGAAAGCAAG